TTAAGAAGTTCACTAGAATCAAAATTCTAATAAAAACAAACACAGAATGCCATTGCACACTGAGATCTGCCTTCACTCACCACATCACAGCTGTTTCTGATCAATTCATCTCTGTTATGTCCTTAATGTCTTCACTGACCAAACACAACCTTCATAAACTAAAGAGAAACTTTTCAAGCAGTGCTGAGGATGTAGATCTTCTCATCATGCTTTAAAAAGACATACAGTCTTATATCGAAGTCTAAATATGCACAGCTATCAGTGTTCATGAAATCAATGCTTCATGCATTTATCGCATACAATGAATATCATATATAATATACAAAGGGGCTCAAAAGACATTATGTTGCTTCAATTCAAAGTCTCAGTCAAATTCCAAATTGTTACTCTGATAATATAATTAGGCCTATGTAAAGCAAATATTATATTTATTTTAAAATGCAAAACAGAAGTATTTTCATGAATTATTCAGTCTTTTGGACCCCACTGTATATATTAACTGTATATTAAGAGGCCATGTAACAGTGTAAATCAGCGAGAGCGCACACGCGCACGTTCTCTTTGATCGCGTCGGTCACGGAAGTTCCCGCGAAAGAATCTGTTACAATGTTTCTATTTAATATTTACTCCTGCAGGACGAAATAAACGCGCGTATGTCATATCAACACCTCAACAATGCATGAAAAAAAAAAAAAAACTGGAAAGTTAAGTGTAAAAAAAATTTTAAATGTCAAAATGCGAATCTGAGAATTTCGACTAATCGCGTGTGAAACTATTGACATTTTAAACGGATAAATACATATATGATAAAGTGTAATTACACAAACTCTTGTAGGTGATTATGATGATGGTGGTGTTTAGTACCTGAGAACTCCTGTGAAGTTTTAGTGAAGCCAGTCAGACACGAGATTCCCAACAACAGCAGTGAATATGAGACATCAGGGAAAAACATCCTTAAATGTCCCATCAGTTCCGATGATTCCCGAGAGGATCAGACCGCAGGACGTAAAGTGATGTCCAAATCCATGACTCCAGTCTGGAGACACCAGATAGATAGAGAGAGAGAGAGTCAGAAGAACACCAGAGAAGACCTGAGAGAGAGAGAGAGAGAGAGGAAGTCCCCCTGGTCCCAAAGTCCCTAAATTTCACGCTCACTGATGATTCGATTCAATTCATTAAATCTTTATCGGTACGACTGCCAATACACTGTAGTGTTAGAGTTTATATAAACAAAATATTTAATAAAGTATTTCAGAATATCAAACACAAAAGTAAAAGATAAAAAAAATCTAAACTCTTTAATCTTAAAGGAACAGTACACCTAAAAAAAGATTTACTCACCGTCAGGTTGTACCTATCCCGTGCGATTACTAATTTGTGCTCAATTTTAAAGTTTCAGTTTGAGTATTATTTCATAAACTGCAATCTCTGCTAATTCTATAGCCTACTATCAAATAAACTATAATTGGACCAAACCCAGAGATCCTGTTCTGTACGTCACGCAGTGTTTAAACCAGACATACAGGTGTTATATTGTATTTAATGGTGTCAATAGGTCACTGTTTTAATGCATTGTTTAAAGTAATTATTTGACACAGTCATAAACGACTGCAATCGTACTGAAAATACCAAATTACACTGAAAATAAGGGAAACGGCAAGATAACCTACACTGTAAAAAAAAAATCTGACATTTACGGTAAAATACCGGCAGCTGTGGTTGCCAGAACGTCACTGTAAAAAATATGGTAGCAACATTTTAGGTTTTACAGACTTAACTTAAATTCACAATAAAATACTGTATTTCATTAACTGATGTAATGTTAATAAACCAACATATTGAAGTGTTAATATCGGTTTTGAACCATTCAGCTTTTCTATGAGCTGAGGGCAATATTTATATATAGAAGGTGCACAGTGTCATTCACACAAACACTAAACCCCATCATGGTGACACACATGATTCTGAAATAATGCAATAGACATTAATTTAACAACATTAGATGTAAGATAAAACCCTAGTGTACACAACTGATAAGAAAAAAACTAAGAAACATGTTTATTCAACAAAAAAACATCAAATATGAAGTGTCATGCAGGGAATTCTGGGAGTGTCAATTTACGTTTTTTCACTGTAAATTATACAAAAACTTTTTCTTTTCCAAAAACCGTATTTTAACAGTATTTTACTGTAAAATTACATTAAATGTAATTACATTTATTCACCGAATATAGTATGGAAACTTACTGTTAACCAGTTAATAGGTTTTTACTGTAGCATTTTTACAGTCTCTTACTGTTAAAATCACAATCATTTTTTACAGTGTAGAGACGTTGGAACAAGTTGGACTTCGTGTAGAATAGAATACAATAGAATATTTTAGAACACTGTTTGGACAGAATCGCAATACCAGTACAAGGGCCATTCTACAAAACAGCTGCCATGTCTTTCATATACATACGCATAAACAATAACATTTTTATATATATAACGTTGTCTACTAAAATTGTTTCCATGCATTTTCCAGTTTCCCTTTTAAAGGAATGAACTAATGCATGAAAAATTATAATACAATATAAAATAATTACAACATAAATAAATAATAGCATCCCAACCTAAATTTAAATGTTTTAAATTTAAATGCAATTAACATTAAACGGTGCCATGCAAAATTAAAATTAAAATACCTTATTAAACTGGAAAAGCCAGCCGTTTCATAAAATCTCAAGCTGATGTCTGTGAAGACTTCAAGGTCATGTTGAGTACATAAAGCAAAAAAAAAAATTCCTGATTACTATCTTCTCATTTGGTTCTCACTTGTGACAATCTCTCCATGTTTCTCCAGAGCTGTAGAGACATCTGCTGGTCAATATTAAGAACTGCAGTAACTCCCCTTCATCAAATAAAACAGCATGGATTCAATAGGATTCAACTGGCATTGCATTTACCTTTCACTGCCATTTCTATCAGTTTTCAGGGCATCTGTTCATTTTATGAATTTTACTGTATGCGGTCTTTAGCACCACTGTTACTGTTTCATGAATTCCTTGTTCCTTATTATTGTTCTACTGTTTAATTTACCAGAAAAGCCTATATTGGGGCACATTGTCACAAAAGCTCAACATGTATCATTATGAACTACTATATCTCTTCATGTGCAATAACAGTGTAATAGTACGTTTAATAGCATTTTTCTTGCAGTCAAGATTTTAAGATTCGAGTCCATACAGCAACTGACTTTCAAAAACAAACACCCTGAGAAATATTAATTGCTGTAAAAATTACAAAAACATTTCTGTAGCCCAACAACGTGGGCTTGTTGAACATTGCACACTCCAATACTCACCTGAAGAGCTTGTGGTTTGGTTTAGTCTTGTGATGAACATTTGAACATTCACACCTTCATTCATGCAAACAGACCACAGAACCCAGAGATGCCATCTCAGATGTATTTAATAAATTAAAACAAGGTACAAAAAAGAAAAAAAAACCTTAATGTACATTTGTCTCTGTCTCTTCCTTTGTTATCACTCTGTGACTCACTAATAAACGAACACGATAGAACAGCCCTCGTCCACTGATTATGACACATTCTGGGCCCGTATGTAACACAACACATGCTACATGTCGGCAAGGAGATGGGCGGAAACAAAAAAGAGAGAGAGAGAGACATGCGGTATGTGTTTACAGCAATAGTTCATCCAAAAATGAACATTTGCTGAAAATGTACTTGCCCTCAAGCCATCAAAGACACAGATGAGTTTGTTTCTTCATGAGAACAGATGTGGAGAAATGTAGCATTACATCACTTGCTCAGCAATGGATCCTCTGCAGTGAATGGGTGCCGTCAGAATGAGAGTCTAAACAGCTGATAAAATAATCCACAAGTAATCCACACCACTCCAGTCCATCAGTTAATGACTTGAGAAGACAAAAGCTGCGTGTTTGTAAGAAACAAATCCAGCATTAAGATGTTTTAACATTAAACTGCCACTTCTGGCCAAAATACTAGCCCTTAATCCATAATAATCCACAACAATGTTTTTGACTGTTTTTACTTAAACGGTGCTTGATCTGTCCATATTTCTCTCCTGATTCAGATAAGACGACTTTTTCACTGGAGGAAACAATATTATGGATAGAGAGGAAACAATGGTTTAAAGTTAAAAATGCCTTAATGATGGATTTGTTTCTTCCAAATACACAGCTTTTCACTACACAAGACATTAACTGATGGACTGGAGTGGTGTGGATTATTGTGATGTTTTTATCAGCTGTTTGGACTCTTATTCTGACGGCACCCATTCACTGCAGAGCATCCATTGCTGAGCAAGTGATGGAATGCTACATTTCTCCAAATCTGTTCCTATGAAGAAACAAACTCATCTGTATCTTTGATGGCCTGAGGGGGAGTAGATTTTCAGTAAATTTTTAGCAATTTTGGGTGAACTCTTCCTTTAATAAATTTTCAAATATATGTCATATGTTTACTGAGCCCATTATCTGTGTGCATGTACCTACCAACATTCCTTTAATGAAACACGAAGAAGAATTTCTAAAGAAAAATGTACAGGTTAGGAACATCATGATGTTGTGTAAATGATGACAATTTTATTTTTTATCTTAGTGCATCGCTCTCTCTCTTATTCGTTGTGTAACGCCCAGTCTCTACTAGTCACCAAATATGCTGCTAATTTTCAATATATATATATATATACATATATATCTATATCAAAAACAATCATAATAATCATTTCGTTAAAAAACGTCCACAACATTTTGGCAGAATCGAGCGTGAGGGGTTAAACAGACAGAGATATAGAGGACAGATCTAAAGCCACAGACAGAAATCAGTCTGTATTGGTCCCTCTCTCTGTTAGCAGAACACGGACTCGTATATATTATACAGTATATATGTATGTATGTATATATATATATATATATATAAATATATATATATGTGTGTGTGTGTATATATACATATTTACTGTATATATATATATATATATATATATATATGCTTTTTATGTCAGTATCTTCAAAATAAAAATAAAAAACATTTAACTAACACTATTTCTTCGTTCAAACGGATGCAAATCATCACAAGGAAAACAGCCCAAGAGCCACGGAAGATCGATCGTGGGAGAATCAAAGAACGGTTTCCAGCGAACATGCTGTGAGATGCGGAGAGCGGAGATGTCGCCCTACAGACGCCCCAAAATCCAATGAGAGAGTGGTTGAAAGAGAGAGAGAGAGCGAGAAGGACGAGTCGGAGGAAGATCCCGACTCTCAGATGGTCAGTTCTGACATGGTGTTATTCGCATCGCAGTGAGGGCTTCTGAGAGTTGTACTTTTTGGGTTTTCGCTCACTCTGTGTCCGTCTGAGCGGCGGCTCAGTAGTCCGCGGCGTATTCGGTTCCGTGAAGGCCGCGGCAAACCAGGGTGAACTCCTTTACAATGTCTTTCACTCGGCGCTTATTCACTCGCTCCCTGAGTGGATGTGGAGAAAAATACACAGATTACATCATCAACACATATATTAATATAATAATAAAATAAACACATTAAAGACATTTACAATGCTACAAAAGATTTCTATTTCAAATAAATGTTGTTCTTTTGAACTTTCTATTCATCAAAGAATCCTGAAAAATAAGACGTATCAGGGTTTCTACAAAAATATGAAGCAGCACAACTGTCTTCAAATGTTTCCTGAGCATGTGGAGGATCATGTGACACTGAAGACTGGAGGAATGATGCTGAGAATTCAGCTTTGATCACAGGGATACAATTATGGTTTAAACTATATTCATATAGACAACAGTTCTATTACTGTTTTTACTGTATTTTTGATCAAATAAATGCAGCCTTGGCGAGCATAAGTGACTTCTTTGAAAATAATTGAAAAACCTTTTAAAATTTGAATTGTAAATCAGAATCATAAAGGGCTTTATTGCCAAGTGTGTTTACAGACACAAGGAATTTGTCTTGGTGACAGGAACTTCCAGTGCAAAGAAAAAGTACAGACATACTGCAGACATACATATAATAAAATGAAATATAACACTAATAATATTCATCTATCCAGAATGGTCTACATGAACCCATCTCACCTGAGCACCTGTTGGCTGAACGTGTCTTTCTGGTCATCCGAGACGCGTGAGGACGGGAAGCCCGGTGAGCGCAGAGCTTCTTTGAGCCACACCGTCAGCAGAGCGAAGCAATGCTTGTTCAGACAGAAGAGCACCTCCGCAAACTGGTCCATCAGACTGCGGGACGACTGACCGCCGATGGCCTAATGAAAGAACAGGTCAGTCAGACTTTTGTGCATTTCTTTTTTTTTTTACATTACTCAACAACCACCATACATTGTGCACCTCTGGTGAAAAGTTGCAAGCTCACCTCCAGTACAGCCAACAGGAGGAGTTTACCATCTTCCTGCACGACCTGACCAACAGGAGGAATGTCTGCGCAGTGCGGTATTAGTTCCGTCTGCAGTCAACGCAAACAAAGGAACAGTTCAATATTACACATCACTACTGTTTATGAAAGTATATTTCACAGGAGGTCAAGACACAAACTGAGGGTCAGTACAGTCTTCCATCAAAACAATATTCACTACAAAAGTTTGGAATTAAGTTTTTTGAAAGAAGTCTCTTATGCTGAGCAAGGCTGCATTTATTTGATCAAAAATACAGTAAAAACATTAATATTGTGAAATATGATTAGAATTTAAAAGAACTGCTTTCTATGTGAATATCTGTTAAAACTGTAATTGATTTCTGTGATCAAAGCGGAATTTTCAGCATCATTACTCCAGTCTTCAGTGTCACACGATCCTTCAGAAATCATTCTAATATGCTGATTTGCTGCTCAAGAAACATTTCTTAATATTATCAATGTTGAAAACACTTGTGCTGCTTAATAGTTTTGTGGACACCTTGGTACAAGATAGAATCAAAAGTGATCAAAAAAGTGAAGGCATTTATAATGTTTCTTTAATCGAATTATTCTGAAAAAGATGCATCATGGATTCCACAAAAATATGAAGCAGCAAAAACTGTTATTGTTAATTTTCAACATTAATAATAACAACCATTATTAATTATTGAGCACCAATAATAATTGATAATAATTGAGCTGCAAATCAGCATATTAGAATGATTTCTGAAGGATCATGTGACACTGAAGACTGGAGTAATGATGGAATAAATCCGGAATAAAAACAGGAATAAATTATATTTTTAAATATATTAAAATAGAAAGCAGTTCATTAAAATTTTAATAATATTTGGCAAATGATAATACTGTTTTTTCTGCATTCCCCATCAAATAAATGCAGTCTTGGTGAGCAGAAGAAACGTCTTTCAAAAACACTGTAATTATTCCAAACATTTGACCAGTAGTGTATTATGCTCTTGGTGTGAATAATAAGTAAGGTTGTTGCGACAAACTCTGACTTACAAAGAAAAAGCAGGTAGATTTGACTGTCGGGGCTTCTGGGAATTTCAGTGACAGCAGTCCTTCGGCCGAAACACAACGGCATTAGAGAAATGACTGTGTTTTAAATATTACAGAGGCTCAGACATTCACACACATTCATGCATGGTTTCTACATTTTAAACAGACTTACCACAGTGAAACACGGCTTTCACATCAAGACTCTCGGATAAGAATAAATCGGGCTTCCGTTTGAGGGCCTATGAATCAGACAGAGTCAATGAACAGAGCACATGCCTCAAACCCCGCCCCTGAAACCCTGTCAATCACTCCTGTGCCCCGCCCACTCTCCATCACTCACTCCCTACACCTGTCTAGCTCTAGAAAATCAACCAAACGTACATATTCAATGCAAACAGATCAGGTAAGTAAGAAATCAACACCAAAGAAACTAAAATACTGAAATTTAACTCAATAGAAACTAAAGGTATGATGAATTTTTCTCTCTTTAGTGTTCTCACTTGTTTTGCATCTGTTCGATCACTACTTTCTCTGCTCAGTTGGTCTGAATGCAACAGAAATCTAAGTAACATGTACGATAAAGACAACTGATGCATTAAAAAACTCATTGAGGATGAGAGGATATTTGAGAAACAGAGAGAGAAACCGAGAGAGAGGGAGAACCTCATGAGAGCCTCATGAGAAGACATAAACGAGAGAGCCAACTCATTTGAATCAATTAATCAATTCATTTAGATGAATTAATTTAGGCTTTCATCGGGTTTTGGGCTGGAATGACACTGAAAGGAGTGGAAGGGGTTTGTGGGATCTTGAACCTAACTTTTTTTCTGCAAGGACGCATTAAATTGATCAAAAGCGACAGTAAAGACATTTATAATGTGATTTCTATTTTAATGCTGTTCTTTTGAACTTATTTATCAGAAAAAAAATGTATGACATACAGTATCTCACAGAAGTGAGTACACCCCTCACATTTTTGTAAATATTTTATTATATCTTTTCATGTGACAACACTGAAGAAATGACACTTTGCTACAATGTAAAGTAGTGAGTGTACAGTTTGTATAACAGTGTAAATTTGCTGTCCCCTCAAAATAACTCAACACACAGCCAATAATGTCTAAACCGCTGGCCACAAAAGAGAGTACACCCCTAAGTGAAAATGTCAATACGCCGCACACTGCATCAAATTGGTCTGCATGGCTGTCATCCCAGAAGGAAGCCTCTTCTAAAGATGATGCACAAGAAAGCCCGCAAACAGTTTGCTGGGAGTGTCATAGTCTAGGGCTGCATGAGTGCTGCCGGCACTGGGGAGCTACAGTTCATTGAGGGAACCATGAATGCCAACATGTTCTGTGACATACTGAAGCAGAGCATGATCCCCTCCTTTCGGAGACTGGGCCGCAGGGCAGTATTCCAACATGATAACGACCCCAAACACACCTGAGGGTAAAGGTGATGGATTGGCCAAGCATGTCTCCAGACCTAAACCCTATTGATCATCTGTGGGGCATCCTCAAACAGAAGGTGGAGGAGTGCAAGGTCTCTAAAATCCACCAGCTTCGTGATGTCGTCATGGAGGAGTGGAAGAGGACTCCCAGAAAACAATGCAATTGTTATATTTCACAATATTACTGTTTTACTGTAGTAAAGTACTGAAGTAAAGTAAATAAATTATATTAGTTAGCCATACTTAATTTAAAGTTTTCCCACAATAACATGTTAACTTCCCTTAAAGGGGTCATATGATGCGATTTAAATTTTTCCTTTCTCTTTGAAGTGTTACAAGCTCTTGGTGCATAAAGAAGATCTGTAAAGTTGCAAAGACTAAAGTCTCAAATTCAAAGAGATATTCTTTATAAAAGTTAAGAGTCAGCCACGCCTACCTAAAACGGCTCGTTCTAACACGCCCCCACATACCTACATCACTATGTGGGAAGATTTGCATAACACCGCCCAAATGTTCACACAAAGAAAGAAGGCCTAACTTTTATTCTCGCTGTAGTATTGTTGCCGCCGCTGTCATGTCGTGAAGTCACTGTGTGCTTCGTTGTGAAAGCGAAACTACTTTGGCCTTCCAAAAATGGACACGACTAGAAATCAGTGGTTAAGTTGTATTTACAACAACGTTCCAGAACAGTTCAACCCAAATATTCAGATGTGTCCAGCGCATTTTATGGAGGATTGTTTCCTGATCCTGGTAGAGTAGACTACAATGCCGGCAGTTCTGACTCACAGTCTGTAAGTACGTTTTCATATTTAAAGAATTTGCCACTGATGATTCAAACGCGAGTTTTGAGCAGTTTAGAGTAGC